AAATTTAAAGTTCAGTTCAGATTCAATTGAACTTGAACCTGAACCTAAATTGAACTGAACTGAACTTTGGAATACTAGTGACAATATTAGCTATAAATGCTAATGATAATAAAATAATTAATATTCTTCAAAGCTATATAACAAAAAAAAAGATAAAATAAATACATATAATGGTAATACTCAAAATAAAAATAAAAGAAAAAGACCTTTATATTCAGTTAATATATAATCCAATTCCATTTTATGAGAATTTCAAAAATCTATTAATGACAATACTGTAAACAAACATCAAGCTATATTGGAGAAAGAAGATTATAATAATGCTGTAAATAAACATTAAACTATATCAGAAAAAAAAAATAAAAACAATGCTATAGACAAATATCAAGCTATATCAGAAGGAGAAAATGAAAACAATAATATAGAAAAGCATCAAGCTATATCAGAAGAAGAAAATCAAAACAATGATCCTGATAATGAAACACTTAATAATAAAGCAATTAATATCCAACTTTCACAAAACATCCAAAATTTACCCCATATTGTTAGAAAAGGACAACTATTTAAATATCATTATATGAGCAGTATAGAAAAAGAATGAGATAGAGAAAAGACTTCTTCTAGAAGTTTATATAAATATCATCAGTGTGAAAAGGTGAGTCACAATATAGCTTATCACAAGTAAATGTAAAAGGAAAAAGAAGAGAAAGAGGTAAAAGTAATAAGGGAAGAAGAATTTAATAGATAAATATGCACATATATATATACATATATATATAGCTATATATCTAAATCTACATAGTAACCTCATTTTCTAAATTAGTATAATAGATGTTCTATAATACTCTACATAAACACAAATTAGTTTAATTAAATTAGCAAATTTTTTTATTAGAAAAGACATATACTAGTCTAATAAATTCTAAGTCAATCTGTATTAAACAATATTGTCTATTGTGAGAGTGATCTTTATAATCAGATCTAGAAAATTAAACTATATATATATAGCAACAAAGAGCTACTTTTGCATATATAGAGTAATAACTATATCAATATACAAAATTTGAAATTTTACTGTTATAGTATATCCCAATATAAATTATTCTAAAATAGATTCTATCAAATCTTCAAATTTGCTAATTAAACTAATTTAAAATTTTTTATTATATACATATATACTTATTTTTTATATATGAAACAGATTAGAACCAGCTTTAATATACAAATATAAAAAAGCGATAAATAATTATATCATCCCCTAGATGCAAAGAATATTTATTTTAAAGAATACAATATCTAATTAGGTTCAATCAAAAATACAATAAATTAAAAAATATAATATACAATATAAATTAGATATATCATTTTTTAAATTAAATAATACAATAAGCTAATCTTTTTTAAGCTTCTAAGTAAAGTTGTAGAGAAGATTTTTTTGGATCTAATAGTAGTTAAATCATCAAAATTAGTCTAGTAAATCTTAAGATATTTGAGGCTAAAGATACAAATATAAGAATCTGCAAATTGGTAATTATACAAAATATTATTTTTTAATATTTTGTATAACTATTAATTTGTAGATCTCTATATTTGCTCTACAACTTTATTTAAAAGTTTAACAAACCCTAACAGTTATAGAAAATATCTTTTTAAAATTGCTTAATTGGTGATTTGATACTTAAACAAAGAGAACTCATAGTATAATATAACACAGTTTATATATAGAAATTAGGGTTTTTGAAATATAAGCTGCTTTTATCTAAAATTTTTTTATACTAAGTTAATTATCTTTGGGCCTCTAATTGAAGTTGTAAAGCTCATCAAAATGAATCTAATAGTAGTTAAATCATCAAAATTGACCTTGTAAATCACAAAATATATTTAAAAAACATTTTGCTAACTATATAAACTTCTTTTTTAACAATAGTATTGTTGAAAGAGAAGTTTACATAGTCAGTAAAATATTTTTTGAAGATATCTCATAATTCATAAAGCTAATTTTGATAATTTAACTACTATTAAATTTATTTTGATAAGCTCTACAACTTCAATTAGAGGCCCAAAGGTAATTAATTTAGTACAAAAAAGGTTTAGATAGAAGCAGCTTATATTCTAAAAATCTTAATTTCTATATGTAAACCATATCATATTATACTATAAGCTCTCTCTGGTTGAGTAGCAAATCACTAATTAATTTTTTTTTTGTTTTCTATATAATTTTTAAATTAAATAAATAATTCACTCTAATTAATAATATGATTGGTTAACATAATTTTTTAATAATTAAAGAAAGTTTTACTAAATAAAGATCTTTTTTAATTCTAAATAAAGTTGTAGAAGAGGTTCTTCTAATTTTAATAGTAGTTAAATTATTAAAATTGGCTTGATAGATCTCAAGATACTTGAAGTTAAAAAAAAAATACAAAAATTTACAAATTTACTATTATATAGTATTATAATATTATTATTATTTTTTTTTTAATATTAAAGGTGAGGCCATGCCTCTATCTTTATTAAAACTCAGTTAAACTTTTTACAAG